GTGGATCAAACTCTGGGAACTCTGACTTCACTCTGACCATCAGTGGAGTTCAGGCTGAAGATGCTGCAGTTTATTACTGTCAGAGTTATCATTACATCAACAGTCAGGCTGTGTTCACACAGTGAAAAATCATCGTACAAAAACCTCCCTCAGTCTGAACAGAAACTGAACTTTGCTCTGCAGCTGGAATCTGCAGCAAACACTGATAACGTTCACTGAACACACATTTTACACTCTCACCATTTAGTTGCATCAAACCTTATTAAAACTCAAATCTGAAAACAACACAAGATATATTCTTACTGTTCAAGGAAGTTGATGAAGGTCAAACATTTTTCAAGGTTGAAATACATTTTCCAGTCCATCCATAAAGGAACAATCCATCAAATAAAATAAAACAATCAGCATAAACAGTAAAATGTATTCAAACCCTCAGTTCAACCTATTTAATTCTAATAAAGATTTGAATAAAGAAAGAGATATATTTTTAAAGTAAATAATCTGTCACAAATTAAGAGATATTTCTGTCTTCCACCTCTAGTCTGGGAGTTTCTTCAATGTTGTTGAATGAAAGAACATTTAATATCCTTATGAGGACATCAGCAGAATCGTAACTCTAACGCAGCAGAAAAGTTTATTTTATAAACCTTGAAGAAACTCTGAAAAATTACAACAAAAATTCAATGTTCTCATTTTAAAACATCTGACCTGAAGTTAAATTGTGATTGTTAAATACCTAACAGGATTTATTTATTTTATCACAGATCCTTAAGGATCTTTAGGGATGAAACAATAAATAAATTCCAGGAGATTATTTTAATTTATAACCCTGGTAAAAATAAATGACTAAGTTTGACAGTGCTAAAGGGAAATAATTAATATTCTAATAATTATTAATGCTTGCTCCTTGATTTGCCAATAGAATATTATTATACTACTGCCAGATGACTAGAAACTAATAAAAATGATTTTAAAAGAACTTAAACCAAGAATACATGTAATCTATTCTCCCCTCGAAATGTATTTTATTTTATACAATATATTTTTTATACAGATTGTCCCTTTTCAGATCTAAGATCTCATATAAAATATAGACCAGGCTTGAAATGACTAAACAGAAAAAAATACAAACACATCAACAATATGAGTAGTTAAAACATTTGACTCAATTTAATCAGCTGATATAAAGCAGGTCTGAATTTGAAAAATGTATTTGAGACCAGAATTAACCCAAATCTATAATAGCAGAGAAATATTTATGAAGCAGAAAGTTTATAATAAAATAGGTATGAAGAAAACAACCAAAAGGATCCCATTCAAATGTTAAATAAAGTGATTTGCATCAGCAGCTCCATGCTCCAGCGCTCTGGGAGAGTTTATAGTCCTGACAGTTGAACACTGGATGACTGACAGCTGTCCTTCATCACAGCAGGAGACACAGAAATCCTCCTCATCATCAGAAGCATGACTCTGATCTGCGTCCTCATCTGGACTCTCCTCTGCTTCACTCAGGGTAGGAAAATCATTTTTCTGTCATGTGAAAATCATTTGGAGTGTAGCTGAGTTTCACCATCTCATGTCCAGAGTTTCTTCTCTCTCCTCAGGATCTGATGGACAAAATGTTGTTGTGACTCAATCAGCAGCCAAATCAGTGCAGCTTGGTCAGACGGTCACTATTGACTGTAAGGCCAGTAGACAACTAACTGGTTGTAGCACACCCTGCCTGTCCTGGTACCATCATAAACCTGGAGAAGCTCCTAAAGCTCTGATCTACTACACATCATCCAGATTTTCAGGAATCTCCTCCAGATTCAGTGGAAGTGGAGCAGGAAATGGATTAGACTTCACTCTGACCATCAGTGGAGTTCAGGCTGAAGATGCAGGAGTTTATTACTGTCAGAGTTATCATAGTGGCCCCGTGTTCACACAGTGAAAAATCATCGTACAATAACCTCCCTCAGTTTGACTGAACAGAAACTGAACTTTGTTCTGCAGCAAACACTGATAACGTTCACTGAACACAAACACGCTGAAAACACACTTTATAGATCAGATATATAGTAAACAGAAGCAGCAGCAGGGAAATTCTTGCTACTACTCATTTGAAACATTAAGTTTTGAATCATTTTCAATCATTTTTTACATCTATGATATAAGATGTAACAAATCTAATTTAAAAACAAATGTTTTCATTTGTAGAAAACATTCAATGACCAGAATGAAATTAGATATTTTGGGCAATTAATCAAATGGAAGCACATCATCATTTCAGATCACATGAATTAGGAAAGTTCTGGTATTTAAGGGCTGTAAAGAAAACACCATGAAGACAGAAAATATTAGATTTTGATCCACATTATCAGCAGTGTTCCAGCTGGGAGGAGGAAAACTGCTGAGTCCAGTTGAAGTAACTTTGACTTTTGAAAAGTTACAAAATATTTTCCATGTTTTTTACTTTAAACAACATGACATGAGATCAAAGAAAACTGGCAATAACACCAACATGTATTTTAATCATTGTTAAACAATTAACCAGATTTATTCTCATAGCCACATGAGGGAAAAACAGGAAAAATAAATTTCATCAGAATCTTCATTGTTGTGTTAGCCCTGGTTAAAATAACTTAGTAAGTTTGACACATTAAAATATGTCAAACTTAGTAAATTACAAAGATGTACTCAGGAAAATATTGGAAAAAATTCACTCATTAATGCTTGATTCTGGATTTATTGTAATAAGGGTCAATTCTTATTACTTCTCATCTGACACAGTTTTGAAGAATCATTTTTAATCATTTTTACGTCTATGATCTGAAAAGACTTAAAGCAGAACACATTTTATAAATGACCTAAATGAAATTAGGTTTTCTTTTGTGCAGTCAAATGGAATCACATCAACATATCACAGAAATTAAGAAGGTTCTGATATTTAAGAGTTATAAAGGTGACAAAACACTTGATAATGTTTTTCAGTTAGAAATGTTATCAAGTAGATCTGCAGATTAATGACCTCACAGCAAAATTTATATAAAATAAATTATTACTCTCTTTAACTGACACTACAAATTACTGCTACCTGAAAAACTGATATATAACTTTAATGACACATATTAGCAAAATATAATGTGGTTATAATGAGAGACACTTAGATATTTCTTGACATTATCATCAGTGAGGAGGAAACCTGCAGCCAGCTGAGCTCCAGCTGACTGACTGAGTGTGTTTGCATATGTGTCCTGCCTCTCTGCTGCAGCTGTTAAGAGGTCAGAGTTGATCAGTGGCTGTCCAGGCCTTTCAGAGCCACTGACACACCAGCAGCACAATGATGATGTCACTGACTCTACTGCTGACCATCCTGGGGCTCCTGGTTCAGGGTGAGACTCTGATAGGAACTTGGTTTGAGGAAGAACGATAATTAAAATTCTGCTGTCATGGAGAAATATTGAAACAAGATGCTAATGTTTTCTTTTATCTATTCACAGATTATCAATAATTTGTAATTAAACATAATTTTTCTAAATGGATGTTTTTATGTTTTCCAGGTTCATCAGGAGACATCATCCTGACTCAGACTCCTGGATCTCAGTCTGTTGCTCCAGGACAAACTGTCTCCATCAGATGTAAAACCAGTTCAGGTGTTAGTAGCTATGGTTATAGCAACCTCCACTGGTACCTTCAGAAACCAGCAGAAGCTCCTAAACTCCTGATCTATGCAGCTACAACTCGTCAGTCTGGAGTTCCAGCTCGTTTGAGTGGAAGTCGATCTGGTCCTGATTTCACTCTGACCATCAGTGGAGTTCAGGCTGAAGATTCAGGAGTTTATTACTGTCAGCAGGGTTGGAGCAGCCCGTTCACACAGTGATAGAACGTCGTACAAAAACCTCCCTCAGCTGGAGAGGAACTGATCCGACTCAACAGATTGACTGAAACTGAAACACTGAACATTTCCAAAAATTATTTATTTATTTTATTAATTTTCTATTTTTGTGTACATTTTAATTTATTCACTTAGTCTTTTTTCTGATAATATATTTATATATTTTTATGTTGGATATTTATTTGGATCTGAGACAAGAAATAGTGACAATAATAATAATAATAATAATAATAATAATAATAATAATAATAATAATAATAATAATAATAATAATAATAATATTTGCCATTTGGTTAGAACAATTAAAGAAACAAAAAAAGCACAAAAAGTATGTGTAGTTTAAACAATTTGTATTTTGAAATGTTTTTTTTTCTAATCATTTTCTCTGACAAATTCCGATAAACCTCTGACTTCTGATAATAGCAGTTCCTAAATATTTTTTCATAGATTTAAAACTATATTGCAAATATGTCTTAAACTTTAATGAGGATTTTGCATGCAGGGCATTTAATTGTCTTCTTGTGATGGATTGAGATGATGTCTAAAGAGAATAAAAGGCAAAACATAAATAAGTACAACAGTAGAACATAACTAAAATATTTAAAGCTCAATAAATAAGCAGATGGACACCAGAAGTTGATGAGTAAATATTTATTATCTGAACAGTGACCAACATGACAAAGCAAACATGACTCAGTGAAAATAGAGAAGAATCAGCAGAGAAAGAGTGAGAGCAGTGACAGATTAAAGCCAGTATCAGAGTCTCAGAGAGTCAGGTCAGGACTGGGAGCACTGGTCTCTCCTCAGTGTCTCTGTGAC